AAAAAAAAAAAAAAAAGAAAAAGAACTGGGGATGTAGTTCAATGCAAAGACCACGGATTTAATCCCCATTTACCCCCCCCATTTGTTTTCTGAATAAGCAGTACATTTACATGGTTCAAAATTCAAAAGGGTCAGAGATTATACAGTGAGAAACTCCTCTTCCACTCCCATTCCCTAGTTCTTCATTGAGATGTCCAGTGTTGTCGATTTGTAATATAACCTCCGAGAGTGTTTTAGTTACTTTCTAATCACCAGGACACAATATCTATTACCCACAACTTAAAGGCGGAAGAGTTAAAGGTTTCAGTCCGGAGTCGGTTGGCTTCAAGGTAGGTAGCATGGCAGAGGAGAAACAGCTCGTGGTTTGGCAGCAGGAAGAAGAGAGCCATCAAGGGAGGAGTGGGGAGACCAGCCCTGGCCGCACCTCCAGTAACTCACCTATTCTTACCGGACCCCACCTCTTAACAGCAGGCCAGCTGTGAGCGCCCACGATCCAGTCATCTTCCACATGAGGCTCTGGAGGACATTTTAGACAAAAATCATAACACAGAGATAGTTTTTGTATTTTTAGAAATACTTAAATATATTTCTTTCCCCCGTTTTTATGTAATGGTAAATATGTATATGTAATATATATTTTTTAATATAATGATAAATTATGTATATTTTATACATGTAATGGTAAATATATACATCTATAGATATATCTGTACATATCTATAGATATGTATATTTCTATGGTTTGTTTTTTCACTTAATTGTATGTTGAAGAAAGTCCCATTTTCAGCTCATAAGTTTTCTCATCTTTTATGCCTCTGTGGTAGGGAATTCATTCTTTTTTCTTTTCTTTTTGAGGCGGTGTCTCCCTTTGTAGCCCAGGCTGGCTTCAAACTCACAGTGATCCTTCTTCCTCAGCCTCCTGAGTGCTGGGATAACCGGCATGCACCACCATGACCTGTTCAAAGGGAATTCATTCTTAAGTTATATAACTGTTATGCTGCCGTAGGGTCTAAGTACACGCAGGATCAGAATAGAATCCATGTTGTATTTATTTAGTCTTTGGCCCTTGAACAATTCTTTTTTTCTTCTTCTAATTTTAAGAAAAAGAAATAAAAGGGCTTTTTCTTTTGAATAACTTATACAGTACTATGTAAAAAAAAGCTAGTTTTGAATTTTAAAAATCTGATGGGTTTTCTTTCTTTTTCTTCCTTTTTCCCTTCCTCTTGCCCACTTTCCTTTTCTTTTCTTCCCTTTTTTCTTCCTTCCTTCCTGCCTGCCTGCCTTCTTTTTTTCTCCCTCTTTTTGTTTTTTTGAGGTAGAGTCTCACTGTGTGGTCCATGCTGGCCTTGACCTCATTCACTGTGTAGCCCAGGCTGGCCTTGAACTCACAGCGATCCCCCTGTCTCAGCTGCCTAAGTGCTGGGATCACAGACGTGCACCACCATGCCCAGCTGGCTGGTCTCCTTCCTTCTCCCTGCCCCCAACCCCGATGCTAGAAAACCAAGGCTTTTGTATACTAAACAGGTTTTCTGCCACCGAACTGCATCAGATTAAATTCTTTAAAAGTACTTTAGTGCCAGGGATGTAGCTCAGTGGTGCCACTGCCTGCTACTCGAGCACAGGGTCCTGAGTTCGATCCCCAGTACCAAAAAATAAAAAATAAAAAAATAAAATAAAAGCACTTTAGTACCAATCTGTGTTATATAAATAATATTGCTGGACTGTTGTACAGTTTTACAGTTAATTTTGGGAAAAATGAAGTTAACAGATCTTTGAAAGAGATTTAGAAAATATTGCTAAATTATTTTTATATGTAGTTTGAAGAATGCTTGTTTTATTTGCTTCACTTTCCTGTTGAGTTCACTCATTTAGTGCAGTATTTGAAACCCTCCAGTTCACTGCCCTGTGACTCCTAGTTCCTTGAGAACATATTAAGGTGTGGCACAGCTGCAGCATTCAGTACGCCTTGCTGATAACAGAGTTTTGTTTTCAATTTCATATTAGCAGGGAACATTTTCTAGAAATACTACCTGCCTTTCCTAAACCTGAAATTATTACTGAGGTTGAACAGCATAAATAGCATACTGCACTCATTTTCAGGTCTACATGAATTACTGTATATGCAAATGGTCATTAGTTTTCTTTGAAGTTTGGTTTATACAGGGACTATTTTTATTGATAACCTGTTCAGGTAGAAACAATGATTCTGACTGCACTAGAAGAAGCTTAGAATCATTCTGTTATAGAGGCATGCTTCACTCTGACTTTTCTTTTCTTTTCTTTGGTACCAGGGATCAAATGACTTTTCTTTTTGTTTTTAAATTTTATTTATTTATTTATTTATTTTTGGTACCGGGGATTGAACTGGGTCCTTGTGCTTGCAAGGCAGGTGGCAGAACTGCTGAGCTAAATCCCCGGCCCTTATTATTTATTTATTTATTGTTTTTGTTTTTGTTTTTTGAGACAGGGTCTCACTGTGTAGTTGAGACTGACCTGGAACTCATTATGTAGCCCAGGGTGGTCTCGAACTCACAGATCCTCTTGCCTCAGCCTCCCGAGTGCTGGGATTACAGGCATGTGCCACCACCACACCCGGCTCCTAATTATTTATTTTTAATTAAAATTTTTTTCTTTTTGCTTTTTTTGAAACAGGGTCTCTCTCTGTAGTTTAGAATGGCCTTAAACTCACTATGTGGCTCAGGCTGGCCTCAAACTCATAGTGATCCTCCTGCCTCAGACTCTTGACACTTCCAGCTGATTTTTCCTTTAGTTACAAAATTTCTGAGTGGGAGAAGTGGAAGGTGTAGCACTGTTAAAGACCTGTGTGGACATGCTTCCATTTTTCTTTCATATATAACTAGGAATGGAATTGCTGGGCATATGGTAGTTCTTTTTGAGATGGTTATATCATTTCACATTCCCAGCAATGTTGGAGGACTTAATTTTTTTTTTTGCCAATATTTATGTTATAGTCTTTGACTATAGTCATGCTAGTAGGTGTGAAGTAGTATGGTTTTAATTTATGTTTTCTTTATATCTGAAATGCTTATTGGCCATTTCATCTCTGTATTATCTTCTCTCCCTTCCCTTTCCCCCCTTCCCTTCCTTCTTCTTCTTCCCCTGCCCTGCCCTGCTCTCCCCTTTCCTCTCTCTCAAATGCAGTGCCTTGTGCATGCTAGGCAAGTTCTCCACCACTGAGCCCTGTCTACAGCTGCAGCCCTTTTTATTTTGAGACAGGGCCTCACTAAGTTGTCCAGCCTGGCCTTGAACTTATGATCCTTCCCTCCTGAGGAGCTCGTATTACAGGCATGAGCCACCATGTCCAGCTCTTTTATTTGGAGGAATGTTTATTCAAGTCCATTCCATTTTCTTTTTTTAGTGCTGGGGATCAAGCCAAGGCCTTGCACATGCTAGGGTGCTATAACAGTTTAATTTTGTTCGTTTGTTCATTTTTCCTTTTGTTGGGGATTAAAGGGGAGGATAATAATAAAACAGCAATAGCATTGATTTTTTTTCTTGCTGCTATTTTCTCTTCTCAAGATTTGATGCAGTTTGATGATAGAGGAAACAAGACCAATATACCAGATAAGGAGCGGCAAATTGAGGCTCTTCAGTTGCTCTTCCTCATTCTGCCTCCACCCAATCGGAACTTGCTGAAGTTGTTACTTGATCTCTTGTACCAAACAGCAAAGAAACAAGACAAGAATAAAATGTCGGCCTATAATCTTGCCCTGATGTTTGCACCCCATGTCCTGTGGCCAAAAAATGTAAGTGTTGAAGGGAAGAAAAAGAATGCTCTGTTTTCCTGGGCTCGGACTCATATTTTGCCTGTATCTTGGTGAAGTTGTTATGGGTCCAAATTCTAGTCTTCAGCTTTTTGAGGTTAGGATCTTGCTTTATTCATTCATTCAAGAGTCATCCACGCTGAGCAAGTAATTCCTGAAACCTTACCTATAAGTCAGTCTCTGGCAAACCTGCACAGCAACTTAGTGGAAATCCTAGCTACCAAGTAAACTAGAACATTCATCTTGGCTATTGTGAATCCCTTAATCGACAGCCTTCTTGGGAAATCAAATTAATTTCTGAAGATTGAATGGTATAAATTTAGAAATGAGCAGTGTGACCTTAGGGGATAATTTCACTGAGCTTTATATAAAGTGACACATGGGGGAATTCTGTCCTAACCTATTTGCCATAGGTGCAGTTTCCTTGGTAAAGTGAAATGTACTTACTGGTAAGACCATGACCTTCTCAGTCATTTACCTAAGAAATAAATTAGCTAAAGTCTTTTACACTTTCTTTTTACTTTTTCATTGTACTGAGTATTGAACTAAAAGCCTTTGCACTGAACTACATCTTTTTTTTTTTTTTTTTTTTG